CTGTCTTTTATTTACATTTATTTGCCTCAACCCAGCACCCAATTCACATTTTGCTGGGTGCAGAAATAATATTGATATGAAATCTAATGACTGTGGAAAATGATCAGTCATCTTAAGTGAATTGCGAACATCTCAAATAATTGCAATCATGCTATTTGTGAAGTAGCAGGCACAGGCGATCCAATTGCAGGTTTAATACAAAGTTAAATAATCCAAAAATCAGCAACTGGCACTGCTTCATAGTGAGAGATGTTTGGAGAGGGGTATTTATAGGAGAGGGGATTAGTGAAAGGGGAAACAAGTGAGGGGAATGAGTGACCGACACAGCCTCAGACTTTGGGGATGCTGACCTCTGGTGTTGAAAGTCGGGAGCACAGCTGACACCATTATGCCAGAATTGTGACAGGCCTAGACTCATTTTAATAAAGGGCAGGAAGAATAATTAAAGAATTGTTTAAAAATAAATAAGGTAATGGCTTAATAGGCAAACATTCAATCAGCTCCTTGTTAGTATGCAGTTTTAATTTGACATTGTGACCTCTGCTGTTGTTGTAGTTGTTGTACGAGCGGCAAAAGTGAAGAACTACACCATTTTGAATCACCATTCATTTCACCACAGGGAACCTTTTGAAAACAGGTTAAAAACCACTTAAAGCTGAAACTTTTGTGAAACAGTCATTTTACAGTCACACAAGCCCAGAGACTATGAATACAGTATAATAGCTGTATTGGCTGAGTGATATTAGTGACATTACTGCAAATATTAAAATAAATCCCATGGCCTGTTTTTGTGGTCTGTTTTGGGAAAAAAGATGTGAAAAACATAGATAGTGTCAGATATAACTGAATGTGAGAGATGACACTACAAGTGCAGCCTGTAAAGTGCATCACAAATAATCATAATTGGTTTAAATCTCTGTTTCTTTTTGATGTATGCAGTTGTTCTATTGTAAGTACATATACATATACAATAAGTATTTATTCAGAACTGCCACAAAAAAAAAGTCAACTTAATGTATGTGATCAATATTTCTTATTCCTGATGTTCAGATTTTATTACTTAATGTTTCATATTTATCCTATTGCTTGTTTTATGTTTTTATTATTAATATTGTTATTTTTTGTATGTCCAAATTTATTTTATACTTATATGAATTACCATATTTATACCTCTTTAAACTTTATAGCTTTGTTTTAATTATTTATCCTTATGGACTTTTTTATTTATTTGTTTAAATGTTAATGATAATTCAATTTAACATGCATTGTATGGCTTTGGCAACATAGGTCCCATATCCTGTCATGCCAATAAGGCATATTTGATTTGATTTGACTGACAATACCTATGATGTGCTCAGAAAACAATGTTGTGATGTAATTTGTCATTAAACATTACAGCTTCATATTACACACACTTAATCTTGGATCAACTGTCAAACGCCTCACAGGAGAATCGACTAACCTCAGGTCAGTGTGATAAATAATCGTGTGTGTGTGTGTGTGTGTGTGTGTGTGTGCTTTTTTACAGCTTGACCTTGTAAAAGACGCATCCCAGAAAATACGTCGTTTTTACGGGAAACTGTATCGGTTTGGTGCTGGAGCAAAAACAATATGTAAGCTTGATCCAGCTCTGTCCTGATCATTCACTATATGTTCAAGCATTTGTAGACACTGCCACAGCCCAGTGGTGGGCACGGTGACCGTAGGCTTACATACGGCTGTTCCAGAGCATCCTACTCTATTGGTCATTCTGTTTCATGGAGATTATAGGTGTTTTGTCTAGCAATGGACGCTCCTTAAAGTAGATGAGTTCACTAATTAGAAGGCTCTCTGGATAGTTCCAGACAGACTTTATATGCTCAAGGATGTATTATTCTACTCATTTTGTTGCATAAAAGTGAAGACATTTAACCCAACATCCAGGGCCCACTGGGTTTACACTGTGAAAAGAGGAACGGGGCAGAAGCTAATTAGATTTTTTTTTTTTTATTATTGATATTAAAAATATTGCTTTTTTTCTGAATTAGTTGAATAAATCAGTTAAATTGCTTGTTACCCCGTGTGTTTTATGATTAATTGGTTTAATTTTGATTTAATCAAGTTGCTGTCTCCTGAGTCTATTATAGGATTCTTGGAGTAGATTAAAAGAAAGAATGAAGCACCATAAAATGGCAAATAATCTATTTTATATCTGTTTTATGTTTATTACTGAACATGTGAAATGCTACTTACACAGATAGGAATAGAATACATCTACAGAATCGAGTACAGTAAAATTTCTACTGTCACATCCACTTTTCTTTCTCATCAGATTTGGCTCCTGGGGGTTCGGATGACTGGGCCTACAATCAAGGGATTAAGTACTCGTTTACCTTTGAGCTCCAAGACCAAGGAAAGTATGGCTTCCTCCTTCCTCCGAGCTTGATCTCCGGTGCCTGCAACGATGCACTTCTGGCTGTCAAGACCATAGCTTTGCGTGCTCTACAGAAAATTCAATGAGTTGTTACTCTGTGTAGAAAAGGACACTCTGTAGAACCCTGTATGTGATTTGTGCATTCAGACCAGTGGGATTATAAACTCCGACAGGCTTAAAATGACCATAATAAGACATTTCCTATTCACCTTTAGAGCAAAGAAAGCAAATAAAAAAGATTTTCATACAAAATATAGGTCTACATTTTCTGTTCTGTTTTTTTGTTGGTTAGCCAGACTTTATATATCAGTGATTCCTCATGTTTATGCTTCTATTTGCCGAAGTTCATGCTTTTAATACAACACATTAATTCTGTTGATTACAACAGAGAACAAAAAACACCAAATGTATTTAAATGAATATTCAGCGTACCCTCACCTGTACAGTCACGGAAAGTGTGAATAAAAAGACTGTAGCCCACCTGCTGTCATGCACTTACACCTTCAGCAGTGTTTAGTTTCTACAATTCTCCAGTTTCCATTTTCCATCCTGAGCTCTGATTGGCTAGTTGAATTTATCGTCTTACAGTCTGATTGGCTGGTTAAATTTTTACTCCTGTTTTCTGATAGGCTTATTTAATTTCTCTCGAGATTTGACTGACTAGTGAAACGTTCCCTTCTGCAAGTATGATGTTTCCTCCTGCATTTTGAAAGCTAGTTGAATACTCCCCCTGGACTGGTAACATTTGCCCTCCTGTGCTCTGATTGGCTGGTTGAATTTTCCCTCCTGTAAACTGAAAGTGTGGTGGATTTTTTTCCTCTTGCTCTCTGATTGGCTGGTTGAATTTTTGCCCTGTGCTTTGATTGGCTAATCTGATCGCCTCTCTTGAAATTTGATTGGCTAGTATAATTTCTATCCTTTTGCTCCTTTCAAATAGGCTTGTTTTGATTGAAAAAAAAAGAGCTTCCCACCAAGAGGGAGCACATGAACAACTGCGCACATTGAAATTTTTCATGCAGCAAGAATTGGCCTAGTTGTGATGTCAGTGCTGTTTCCATCATGGGAAGACAACAGACAGCATTCAGATAACCTATAATATATAATAAATGGTGATGTTAATGTCAATTTTGAACACATATAGTTAACCCACATAATAATTTTGTTTTATATGAGTTCAAAAACACCAGTAAAATAGCCCAAAACCAACTGATGATTGATTGGCTGGTTGCACTGTGATTGGCTGGTTGAAGTGTTTATCCTTCAACATGATTGGATATTTCTTTTCCTTGATACACCCAGCCTTTTGTCCACAGAAGTTCATTCATTTTATTGTCAATTTGTCATACGTTCATCTCCAGTATTCACACAAAATCAAATTCAAATATTGCTTGGTTTCATTTATAATTTTAACTAACAATGGCTTTTGATTGCAGTACTTACATTTACATTGTGGAATCTTACAATTGGCTAATAATATAATAAATATAATAATATAATGTTTTTCTATGTCTGATGTGAAGTTAGGAGAAAACCAGATACTACCATACTATACATAACATACAAATGAACGCATTTCTAATGGTGGGATACTATTTTTGGCACACAGTGTGCAGTTTTGGGTGGAGCTTCAGTGAAACAAAAGGAAATGAATGAGTCCGTTTTCTGCACCTTCCGCTCGCTGGTGTCACTTTTAATCTCTAACCACCTCCACTCAGCCTGCAGCTGCTTTAATTGATTTTTATATATATATATATATTTTAGTCTATTGTCTATTATCTATTTTAGTGGCTTTCTTGGTTAATTTAGTATTTATTAATTGTGATTAATTTAACTTATTCTTATTATTTATCATATTATCATTACTATTGTTTCCTACTTATTTTTTTTTCTTACTCTATTCAGTAGTTTTATTCATTACTAATTTTAAGTTATTTTTATTACTCATCTGCTTAATCATTTTAATTAGCTGTCCTGATTTGTCTTACGTGTCTTAAATTTTCCTTTTTTTATTTTTATGTACTGTTTTAAGAATAATTTCAGTCATGTTGTTTGTTTATTTACATTTTCTTTGCATTTTCTTTTATGACCACAAACGTATATTTACTCTTTTCAATCCCTTTCAAGTAAAGTTCAAATAAAGGCTGGTCGATCGAGTCATTCAGTGTACGGCCGAATATCAAATGGCTCCCTACTCCCTAGGTAGTGCACTAGGTAGGTCATGAAACTGTGGCTTCTACATCCAAATAGTGCGCTAAATAGGTTGGGAGGGAGTCGAGCAGCTTTGATTGAACACAAGTGACTGTTTATTAGACGTCTTCGCGAGTGGTGGTCGTTATTTCTTGACCTACCTAGTGCACTGCGTAGGGAGCACGGATCCATTTGAAACGCAGCCCGTGATTACGCGCAGTGGTGTTTCCAGTCTCCCCCAGTCCTCTTGTCGGCGCTGAGACTGAAGCTGAGGAGGTTTTGTAGTCTCGCTATCATCATGAAGGCGGCGTGGGGAAACCCGCTGAACCGACTACAGGATTACTGTTGCTTATAATAAGATAACCGTCCCAACAGGTCTATGAAACTGGACGCGGTGCTTAAATAAAATTCCGGGTGAGAAACTTTGCCTCCTTCTGTTTGCAGGCCGGTTAAGATTCGCCAGGTCGCCGCGCGCTGGCCGTTGCTAGGCCTCGGAGCTAATGCTAGTGCAGGTCAGTTAGTCACTGATGATGAAACGTTTTAGTGAATATTTGTCCGAAAACGTTTTGAACTGCAGCGGTGCTGAGGTGTGAATGTCTGCTTCAGTGTGCACGCTACGCTGGGATAACCTTGCTCCTCCTTTGGTTAATATCGAAGCACGGCAGTGTTGGTTGTTTACAGATTTAGCATGGCTAACCTAGCTAGCATCCATTCACTGCACAGATTGTCCGATAACGTTAAAGGGAATTTTGACCGATTTTTCGAAATAATCTACATAATTAAGTGGCTGAGATGTAAACAAAGTCATTCAAAAAAGTTTGGCGTGAAATGCTCCGTTTCCAGAGAAACGTACCGAGTCAGAATTGTGTACAGTGGTGGTGATAGGAACCAGACGTCCACAGAGTTTAATGCCTTTAAAGGATCACTCGCTGAAAGTCATTAACCTACATGAAATGGTTGGGTGAACGCTGCCTGATTGTTTATGATAGTTTTGTGAGAAAGTTTTGGCTTAAAATTCATTTGAATTCATTTATTTCAATCCACGCATGGCGGAGGGATACATGCGGGGCGTTGTAAGGCAAATAGTCCTTTCGGATTTTTCACTGTTTATCCATCATTAGCATTACATAGGACACTCAGAAGACGCGTTTAGGTTCACTGGTGGTTTTGGATGGAAAATAAAATGGCTATTTTTGAGATACAGACATTGTGACCCCTGCTTCCTATCAGCACCACTGTAAGGACTCTGAATCAGTGTTTCACTACAATAAAGCATTTTATGTCAGACCACCAGAATTACTCTGTTAACATCTCAAGGATTGAATTATTCAGAAATTTTTATAAAATTGGTAATATTCCCCAATATAATCTGCATGCTGATTTAATTAACATAACAGCATTTTACTTGTGCTAAAAATATCCACACACTGTGTTATTTTAAATATTCACTGTCCGATATAAAAGGTTTACCTGCTTGTCATGAATTTAGAAAACTAACTTGCACTTTTGGACTCAAGTTACTGAGTGACTGTATTTCTACAAACAGTTTCTACAAAAGTTATTGCTGAAATGCAATATCAATATAACACAATATTGCTTTTCAGTATCCGTTATATATTTTTTTTTAGACATGTATTGCATGGATGTTCATTGTGTCCATAATATGATGGCCATAAATACTGGTGTCAGGTTTTGGGATCTGTGTCCACTCGCACAAAACATCTTAAGTTCTCACTCATCTTAAATTAGCTGCATAAAAACACCTCTGGAAAAAGCTCAAGTTTTTGACAGTGACAAAATTATAACACAGACGACCAGGTCATTTGAACCCCTTTAAACACAGCAAGATGTTTAGTCTTAAAGAGTTAGTTAAGTACTCTGCACAGCTTAGGTGACTTTATCCATTACGTATTTAACTTATTTAAACTTAAACTTATTATTAGTTTTGTTTCGAAACAAAATTCAAAACAAAATTTTGATTCGGAAACATGGGGTCAGTAACTTACTTAATGCTGAGGTGAATACAATAGGATGCTGTGATAAATTTAAAATATGTTGATATTGAATTTTGTCAGTATCGCCCACAACTAAATTATTGTTACCGAAACATGAACATTTCTCAGCAAACAAAGTTGGAAAAGTTAGCATGTCACTAAAAGGTGTTATTCTGCTGTTGGTAGTGTGCAGACTACCTGATAGGAAGCTATATTTAATGATTTTAAAGCTCATGATTGTTTATAATGTTTAATCTAAAGCCCTGCAGAATGTCCAAGATCAGGCGGAAGGTGACAGTGGAGAATTCGAAGACCATATCTGAAAGCAGCAGCAGCACGACCACTCCATCTCGCCGGCCCAGTGTTTTTGAAAGACTCGGACCCAGCACGGGCAGTAATGTTGCCGAGGTAAGGTTAAAATGTCACGTAATGTTTGGGTCTGTTCCTTTTCTTGTAGTCCTAATAACCGGGTCCTGCCTCTTGAAGCCATATTTCTTAGCCAGGTAACTTTGAACTTAGTTTGAGCTAAAAAAAAAACAAAAAAACGAGAAACACAAAATCATTATGTAAATATGAAAAATATGAGGTAAATAAATGGCAGAAAAACCCTGTTAACTCTGTCACAGCCTTGCTTTTTCACCTATAACTGCTATTAATTTTTTCATTGTTAATTTCTTACTTTATTAGTATTTTGTATAATTTCTTGAACAACTGCTGAAAAGTAAGTCACTGGACTTCTCTGTGTGTTTTGCACAGGGATTAATTAAGGCCTCAGTGTCTCAATCTGGGTTGACAGAAAATTGTTAACTGCTCTTGTAAAATGTTTGTTGGATTTTGTTAAATATTAAATGGGCTTTGTGAGACAGGCCTCTGGGGACCAAGCTGATGTACTGTTCACTCCCGAGTCCAGATATGGAAATGAAGCTGCAAATCAGACGTATTATAATTCAGTGTTTTTGTGATGTCACATGTTCATGTATATCCAACTATTCAGTTTACAGGAGTTTAGCCTTGCCCATTCATGCTGAAGTTATAAGCAGTGTTTCAGCCCACACTGCTTTTTTAAATGAGGCACAATACAGGGCAGCCAATTAGAACAGGTCATTTGCATATTGTAGATCAGTCTTAAAGGCACTGTAACAAAAATAGTAAATGTAGCTTGTGTTTTATTTCCAGCAGACCCACTGTAGAAATTGGTTAAAGACAGGAAATTGCAGCTACGGCAACACTTGTCGCTACACACATGGAACCCCATCAAGAGGCAAAGGTTTTTCTGGAACGTTCAGCAGGTGAGGCTCGTTTTGACTTACTGGGACCTTACTGAAAATGACCACTGCATAGTTTTAAACGTGAGCTTGTGTGTGTCTGTGTGTGTGTCTGTGTGTCTGTGTGTTTTTGTGAGTGTAGGTCAGCCGAGAGGCCCACTGGGGATCTCCGGGAGAGAATGAAGAATAAGAGACAGGATGTTGATGCAGACACTCAGAAAAGAGAGCCAGACGAACCTACTTCACCCACAGCTAGAGTAAGACAAATTACCATATCAAGCGGTCACTTGTTAAATCAGGGTTTTTTAATTCATGTTTTGACCTAAGAATACTTCTATACCAAGCCAAACAATACATGTTTAACGCAAGCAGGGAAACTAGAATATCCATTTCTATATTTTTATATATGTAAGAATGTAAATCATTGTGTACCTTAACAAGCTGAATTAATCTGTGTGAATAGCAGAGAGATTCATCCCGAGGTAGACACAGAGAGAAGGAGGATATAAAGATCACTAAAGAACGTACACCAGCCAGCGAAGAGGAAGCAGCAGAGTGGGAAGCCAATCGCGAAGGTCAGAGCTCTAACGTCCATCAGCTACACTTGGGATTGGGTGATATTGATCACATTCAGAATCATGATATCTTCAAAACATATTTTATCATGATGTCACATGATCAGCATTAACCTGTTAATATCGTCTTGAGTTACTGAGCCCATTTTTCATAAGTGTCCTGCAAACCTGACCTAGCTTCTTTTGATTGGACTGTTTTGTTCACTTACAATTACACCAAAGTGGACCTTACACAGTATTGTAAATGTTGACCAGATTTCTAGGAACTTACTTTTTTTATTTCTTATGAATTGTAAACTGTTCTTTGAAAGAGAAAAAAAAAACCTGAAGCCTCCAGTAAACATATTGCACTTAACTGCCAGGTCCTGGGGCTGTTTACACCAGGTGTACGCAAGTTCAAATGTAGGCTAGTTATAACGTAAGTGTTTCCTAAGGTCAGGTTTATGTATCACTAAATCAAAGTGGTCCTCACCACACAGACTATTTTTACTAGTTACTAAATATTTACAAGTCTCCTTGAGCAGGTGTAAGAGTTAGTGAAACCACACAGAAAGACCAAAAACATGACTTTTTTGGTAAACTAAGTTTAACACACTAAATGCTGTGTCCTGTGATGATACTTAAAGCTCTAATCTTCACCCTAATTTTCACTCTTAATGTGAAGCTGACACTCATAGCTCCAGCTCAATGAGCCTCAGCAGCTGACAGTATGTCTGAATTGATGCTGCTGTTGCGACAGTTAGTCAGAGGCCGTTGTTTAAAAAATTGCATTTTTAATTGTCGCAAGGAGATATTAAAGAATAAACAAACATTCCCTGCAAGTATTCAGTGTTACTCTGTTCAACTTTTATACATCATTCTCTTCTATACTGGATATTTTTCCAGGGAAAAGTCACTGGATACCCTGAGTAAAGCACACAAAATAGAATTAGACAGTAGATGAATAGTAGTGGCAGTATGCAATGGGATGAGCTCAGAACCACTGAAATATATTAATTTATACTCACTCATCTTGGAATAATTGGAAAATTGAGATAAAGTTACCTTTTTAAGACACAAAGCACCACTTTACCTTCATGCCTGACCCTCAAGCATCTATTTACATGTACTGCACAACTACTGAGCTAATAAAAATCCAAGTCAGTGAAATCCAATACACATTTACTAATTACAAAACAGTGCCAACAAGTAAGTTACCTGCCATTTTTTTGAAGGGATTCATGTGTGGGCAGTGTCGTTGTTTTCTGCTTTTATTAGTTATTACTCATTATTGATAATGTTGATTATTTAACCACAAATCAAGCATTTTGCAGGTTGTTATGCTCAGACGTGACCTTGATCATATAGATACGCCAAAGATAAAATTGAGGAATAACAAAACTGACTGTGTAATTTCTGTAAGTTTATTTTACGTTTTACTTTAATGAGGGTGGTTTTCATTTGGCGTCTGTGATTGTCTGTCCCCTTAGATTCAGATAACGGTGACTACGACTACGAATTATCCCTGGAAATGAAGAGGCAGAAGATCCAGCGCGAGCTGATGAAGCTCGAGCAGGAGAACATGGACAAACGAGAAGAGATCATTATCAAGAAAGAGGTACAACACCTGATTACTAAAGTCTAGTTTGTCTAATGTAGAAATGAGCTGTATAGGTAATAAAAATTATGGATTGAATGAGTCAGTTAAATTATTTTTAATTGTCCTCTTGGAACAGGAATCTGTAGCCAAGACCAGGACCAGCAGCACCTCCAAAGAGCGGGTATGTCCGCTCATACAGCAGATATTTTGTCAAAAGATGAATTGACAGAATCTCTCAATTAGGCACAAAATCAGAGCCTGATAAAAGAAATTAATAAATATCATCTGAAAGTGAACACTCAGAACCCACTCAGAAACTTGCAGTGCGTCAAACAGTAAAGGCAGCAAAGAACTTCTTTTATATCAGGCATGTCAAACTGGGGACCTTCCGGGCCAAAGTGCTGTGGAGATTACTCTCGTTTTCCCCTTAACTAATGCTCTGAAGTCATTTCATGAAGGTGTTGCTAATTCGCTGAGCTAAATCAGATGTGTTTAATGAGGCAGTGTGCTGAAGTCTGCTGTGCTTTGGCCTGCAAGGACTGGAGCCTGACATTCTAGTCTTTGTATAGTCTTATATAGTCTTCAACTCTCTAATTCCAGCTCCAATTCCACAAGCTGATTCCTTTTACTATGACCACCACAGACATGCACACAGCTAGACGACTCTAGAGTAAGACTTAAGTTAAAGTAAAAATATATCAAATATTTTCTGTATAACTTTTGAGACTTTAATAGAGTTTGATAGAGTTAAACAGCCTCTCTATGGTGGTTTTACGCAGTATTATTGTTTATTTGTTCAGCATACTGCTATTATTCACTGCTTTGTCTTCCATTTAGGGATCTCCTGAGCGCTCCAGTTCCAAGGGCTCACCCTCATCCCGCAAATCAGCTGGATCCCCCAAACGCAAGGCTGCCGGGAAAGGCGGCAACGCTGGCAAGAAAGAGAAGAAGACATCCACCTCTTCTTCGGTCATCTCCTCTCCTGCAGCAGAGCAGAGCAGGCCGGAGGACACTGAGAGCAGGTGAGTAGTGTGGGTCAGGATCAGCTTGCATTCTATCCATGTGAGGTTCATTTGGATGTGAAGAGCGAGGGATTGTTTTCTGACTGTATGACATAGTTATCGATAAAAATGGATGAAAGCAAAACCAAAAACAGTAGTAGGCTCTGCCTTCATATCTGTTTTTTTTTCTGTATTTCTGTTTACATTGATAGAATACAGTGTCAGAAGCCACATAAGAGATTACCTAACCCCTTGAATCCTAGGCTTGTTAGTTATAAATCTAAAAAAAGATAGAGTTAAATATGAATAAAAAAAGACTAGCAAATACTTATTGTACAGTTAATTAGAGGTATTAGTAATCAGTCTTTCATTCTACGGCTCCAATGTCTGCATTATTCTTTTGGGATGTTATTTAACCTATTAAATCCATCCTGAATTTGCACTAAACTGAACAGGTCCCCTCTACCCTTATCAATGCCATATGAACTAGCTGATATATTTAAATAAATATAGTAACCCCTTGAACTTTAGGCTAATAATCTAGTTAATAATCTCAATACTCACTACTAAGTAACTTCTATGATTTTTTTTTTTCTGTAACTTCTATGAATTAGCTACTGTGAAACTAATGTGTAAGTTTTGTAGTTGTGATGGTGAGGAGCTAAAATGTGGCCCGTACATAGAGGTTTAAGGCTTTCAAAGCATACCTTAGCTGTGGACTGAGAAATGGCAAAATTGTTTTGACAGTAATTCAGAAAGAACCCCAATGACACCCTGTTCTTTGATCAGATCGTCCAAGACTGGACACAGTAAGAAGAAAGGACCACGGACGCCCAGTCCACCACCGCCTGTGCCCTTAGAGCTGCCTGTGGGAGGCAAAAAGCACAAGGGCAAGCACAAAAACAAGGAGAAGAGTGAGGACAAACAAAAAGAGGGCAAGGAACGCAGCAGGGACACTGAGAAGCACAAGGAGAAGAAAGAGAAGCGCAGGTACGGCATTTATGCAGGGAAGTGCTTTGGTTTCTCACCACAGCGTGTTTAAAAAAATATGGAGAAGTACAAATACCATGTGCACTTTATAGTCTTGGCCATATAATATAGATTTAAATAATGTCATGCGGTTCAGAGACTGTTAGTATGTAGTTGTGGTTGACTTATGTTAACCTGAAGTTTTTTACCTGGCTGTCATTGTAGGGACCGCTCTGATAGTTCACACAAGGCCAAGCGGTCGGTGACATCAGAGGAACGTTCAGGCAGCGTGTCGTCCCCTTCTAGAGAGTTATCTCCCCCGACAAGGAGAAAGTCATCATCTCCCAAACCTGCCACCCAAAAACTGGCTTCACCCCAAAGGTGAGCAAACATGCACTGAAGATCTTTAATGGAGAATCTCCACTGAGAATAAAATAGAACTGGTCTAATACATCAGTACAAATAAGAGGATCTGATATGACAGAAGTATTACATCACTATGCTTGCAGATATTTTCATGGTACACGATATGCATCAAATCCTCTCAGGTCCCGTACCCCACCCCGTCATCACCGCAGCCCCTCACCTGCATCCCGCCCCCACCATTCCCCCTCTTCTCACTCTGGCTCTTCCCACCAGCGGCACACTCCCTCTCCACACCGGCGCCGGGGCTCCACCTCACCATCCTACCAACGTGACCTTCTTCCTCCCACCTCATCCTCGCCCCCTCCTGCTCAGGCCTCACGCCGTTCACGCTCCCGCTCACCCCCCACTCCCCACAGAGAGGCATCGCCCTCCGGACGTGGACGCTCCAGTCCCGCCTCCCGACACCACTCACAGGGCCAGGAGAGAGAGAGGGGGCGGAGCGAGAGGGAGAGGAGCCCTGCCCAGGACAGACGCCACGAACGTAGAGACGGTAGGAGAGAGCAGACTGATGCATAGATGAAGCTTATTCTGAAACTTACTCTGCTTGCACTAATATAGTCATTTGCAGTCCTGGTCCAGGAGTCCCCAAGCTCTGCACCTGATCCAGTGAATCAACTATTTTAAAGGGCTAATGTCGTCATGAAAAACTGAATTAAATTTTGATGTAGTATATAAACGTTGGTACATTTTCAAATGTGCTATCCATTCCAGTCCATACCTGAAGACTAGGCTGCAACAATAGACCGTTTTGAATTCATTGTTATTGTGATATCAGAAAAAACACCTTTACAAATATCCACCTGCAGTGTTTTACCCCTACCCCTTTATACTGAAGTTATAAGGAGTGTTTCAGCCCAGACTACTTTTTGGATGAGGCACAGTATAGGCCAGTCAGTCAGTTACATATGAGTCTTATGCCAAAAGAGCCAACTTACATACTATATTGTTTGACCTTTTCTAGCCTTTCTAAACCCTTTCTCTTGAGGAAATAGTATTAAGAAGTGTTGTGCATCCATGAAGCTAACAGTCTGTCTGTCTGTCTCTCTCTGTCCCTCTGTCTCTCTCTCTCTCTCTCTGTCTCTCTCATGTCCAGAGAGTCGTGGTAAGCGAGAGAAGGACGGCGGTCGCAGTGATCGCAGCTATGAGATCGATCAGAGCTCTTCACGAGACGAGCGTGAGACACGAGAGAGCCGTGACCGAGACCGCCGTGCTGAACGGGACCGCAGAGACACGCGGGATGACCGGCAGCACCGTAACCTAGGTGACACTAAGGACACACGAGAGTCCCGCCTAACGGAAACCAGAGACCGCTCTGGCCGAGAGTCACTGGAAAGGCGAGAGAGGGACCGGGACAGAGAGAGGGAGAGAGAAAGGGAGAGGGAGAGAGAAAGGGAGCGGAACGAGGGCCACAGAAAGGAGGACACATCGGTGCAAGAAGAGAGAAGTTATGGAAGAGGACATGGCAGAGAGGAGGGGCGGACTGAGAGCAGAGTGGAGAGCAGGAATGAGTCACGGCCCGAGAGGACGGGGAGAGGGAGGGGTCGAGCAACAGACACCACCGATAAAGGTGAGGAACTAAACCCAACACAAGAAGCAAAGCTCTGTAATGAACTTGGCATATTCTCTCACACACACTTGAGGTAAAATTGTCTGTAAAATTTTATAATATATTGCTACACACATTTCGCTGTTAAAACTAAATCTCATATTTCCAGAATGGAAGGAAAAATCTTTGTGTAAGCTTATGTTACGGTGTTCCAAGTAATTTGATACCATGTCTACTGGTCAGTTTTAATAACGATTTCACACAGTGTAAAGGGCATTGGGCATTTTCAAATTATGTATAAAAGAAAGAAAAAACAGAAAATATGGAGATACAAAGTATGTAAATATGTGCCTTTTCAAGCTAATAGTATTCCAGTAATTTTTTTTGATCATTAAGCATATAGATCACAAGAACTACACACTGAAAGCAAAAGATATATCCCACATTATTACTCGCAGAAGTAATAATATACAGTTATCAGTTAATATTGGGTACTAATAATAGTAAAACGAATGATGGTAGTAGTTAGTAGTGTGAATGATTAAGTACTCTAATATCTTAATGAGGAAAATATTATTTTTAGCAGTAAAAAAACGCAAAAGGTCTAAATTTCATTTACTGTGCAGCTAACATAAGAGTATAACATATAACATAATGTCTGATTACATCAGTCAGCTGCCTGTGTCCTGACATTCTCTGTGATTCTACGTTGCATGCTCAAAAATAATTAGTAGTAGTTTTTAATCCAAGTTACACAGACTTTACTTAGGTACCAAATTAAATGCATGCAAGATTAATAAAGATTTCATTATATTTGGACATAAATCTAATTCTAATGTATAGTGTTGTGCATTAACAGTTCGAGGGCTACTTAACAAATAAATCTGTAGTATGCTGTTGGAGGCTCGTCCTGTTTGTTTGTGTGCTTAGAATGTGATAAACACTCATTTTTCCTGTTCAGGTTCAGCTCGAGGGTCCCGTGCCTCCCAGGGTGAGAGTGGTGGCAGTGGCGGCCATGACAGCTGGGAGTCCCGTGGCAGCGGGCTGAGAGAGAGGAGCTCTGAGAGAACCACAGAGAGAGGGGCAGAGCGCGATCGCTATGACAATGACAGACAGCGTGGGGAGCAGGCCAGAGACTCGTCTTACGACCGGCGAGGAAGTCACACCGACAGAGATCGCCGTGACAACAGGGACAGAGGTCAGAAGTTATGCATATTTGCATTTGTTTTCTTTTTGTATTTATTTATTTTACAATTGGCTTATTTGTATGGTGTCCTTGAGTGAGTTGTAGTTCTAAATACAATCGTATGCAAAAGTTTGAACACCCCCAGTCAAATGACTTTTTTTTTGTTTTTTGTTTTGTTTTTTTCACGTGAAAATACGTTAACGCAGAGGTGCTCATCTCCGGTCCTGGAGGTCTGGTGTCCAGCAGGGTTTGGAGGTTTCCCTCCAACTTAACCTGGCAATTAACAGATGAGTGTGATCAGGTGTGCTGGAGCAGGTAAATCACCAAACTGTGCTGGACACCAGCCCTCCAGGACCGGAGTTGTGCACCCCTGTGTTAACACATCCTGTACGAAGAAACAAACTTGAATATACCACTTTTTTTCCTGCTAATTTTACTGCACAGTGTCTGTTGATATGCTGAGTTTAAAATATTGCAGTCTAATAAAGTATGCCAATTTCATGTTTTAACAGGACTGTAAAAATTTAGTTTTGCAAGTAAATATTTTGTTTTCCAAGTTAGTATGTTATACTTCTATACAACGTGAGTGCTAAATGTTAGTGCATCACCAAGGAAGTGTTGTTAAGGACATGACTGAGAAGGCAGTCCCTTTTATCTTGTTTCCCTGCAGTTAATCGTGTGTCACTTTTTAACTTTTACTGATACTCGAATATCAAAATTACTCGGACTGCACATCCTGAATAGCTGTTACAGCCAGATAAACTGATATTTCTGCCCCATGTTACTTCCCCTGATGTATTTGTATTTACTAGGGTATATTTATTATTGCTTATTTTGGTTTCCTACATGAATCGTTAGTTATTTTATGATCATTATTGTTACGCAGATCAGAGAGCGGCGTCTCCCAGCCGCCACCAGAGCCGCAGCGACGAAATGGAGCGCGAAGAGAGGAGAGAGGAACGCAGGGGTGAACGAGGGGAGCCGGACAGACGAGAGGATCGTGGCCGCGAGCGAGAGAGAGAACGAGAGAGGGAAAGAGAGAGGGAGCGGGAACGAGAGAAAGAGAGGGAGCGAGAGGCCGAGAGAGAGCGTGAGCGGGCCAGGGAGAGAGACCGCGAGAGAGAACGAGAACGAGAGAGGGAGAGGGAGGAAAGGGAGAGGGAGAGAGAGCGGGAACGGGAGAGGGAGGAAAGAGAAAGGGAGCGAGAAAGAGGGAGGGAGGAGCGAGAGAGGGAGCGGGAGAGGGAAAGAGAGCGAGAAGAGCGTGAAAGAGAGAGAGAAAGGGAGAGAAAGGAGAGGGAGCGAGAGAGGGAGCAGAGAGAGAGGGAGAGGCAGAGGGAGTGGGAAGAGAGAGAAAAATGCAGGGAGGAGAGAAGGGAGAGGAGAGAGGAGTCACGAGACGAGCGCTTGGGACGGGACAATCATGAAGAACGGAAGAACATGTGAGTGTATTTTAAAGAGCCAGAGCACGACGTTCTACAACAAACACCAACAAACAGAGCCGCTGTTTACTATCTGTTTACGAATGTTCACCCCATTCATTTTCCAGAATGATCTGGTCCCTATTCTTAGTAGCCACGTTTACATGCAGCCTAATAATCCATTAATAATCTGACTAATAGCTCAATTGGAATAGAATATGTCTGTGTATACACCTCAATTCGGAATACAATTTCTGTCCGATTCAACAAGGTGGGTAATCCTGTAAATAATCTGTTAAATAGAAAAATAATAACCATTTAAACGCCTATATCCGATAAGTACCTTCTGCGCATGTGTGTTCGCATCATAGCAAAGGTTTATAACGTTCAGCATGGCGGGAGCAGAAACTGGTCTGCAGAGGAGACAAAGTTTATGCTTCGAACTTTAAAAAAAGACGGCGGTGGGACGGGGAGTCCAGCTTATGTGTCTCAGAACACGACGTCTTCCTCTCCCACTTCATTAATAAGTACCAGCGAAGTACTTTTTCCTAAATCTCCCATAATTTTAAAGTAGTTAAAAACACAAGTGCTCCAGCTGAAAACGTACTGCAGCTCGTCTCACTCTGACTGGACTCACGTGATGCACGTTGTCATGGTAACGTCTACACTAAGTAGATTACTTGTAGTGTGCATATGAAACAGATTTTCCATCCGATGTTGAGGAGAGTGCATATAAACACCTCAGTCTTAATCTGTAATAGGAATGCGTTCAATTGGATTGGCTAAAATCTTTGGATGTAATCACAGCCACTGTTCTAGAATATATGAAATATTGTTCTCCTCTTTCCTGTTCTCACCGTTCTAAAATTTTCTTTTCGTGTTCGTACTGTTGATGTTCATCTCTCTATTCTTGTTCTAAAGTTTCCTCTTTGTGTTCGTACTGTTAAAGAAAGATCTCTCTATTCTGCTTCTCATTTTTTTTGTCCTCTTTATCGTACTGCTAAAGATGTTCACCTTCCTTTCTCACTGCTCTAGAATATTCTTCTCTCATTCACACTGGTCTAGATTGTTCTAGAATGTTCTCCCTAATCACATTGCTGCAGATGTTCCTCCCTGTTCTCACTGTTCTCGAATGCTCTCCCTTCATTTAAACTGTTCTAGAATATTCCTCTCTTTCACACTGGTCTAGATTGTTCTCCCATTAGTACTTTTCTAGAACGGTCTTCTCTCGATTCGATTCTATTCTAGAATGTTCTCCCTAATCACATTTGCTGCAGATGTTTCTCCCTGTTCTCACTGGTCTGGAATGTTCTCCCTTCATTTACACTGTTCTAGAATGCTCTCCTCATTGTTTTAACATGTTCTCCCCTCATTAACACTGTTTTAAGTTGTTCTCCTCCCTGTTCTCACTGAGCTCAACTCATGGTTCATTTGGCTTGTCAGTTCTTTTTCTGGGTTAATATAAAGGCAGCTGACAATATTACAGTGTTGGTGTTTGTTGGGTCAGTGTGCTCTGGCATAGTTTAGCCAAAATCCATAATATTTATCAGTGTTTAAACTGTATGCTTATTAAGTTATGAAACTTGTGGCGTATCCATGTGGCATTTTGAATTTGATGCCAGCAACTCATTTAAAAAAAAAAGTTGAATGTTTACCGCTGTGTTGAATCACCTCTTCTTTTAAAAACACTCTGTAAGCGTTTGGGACCTGAGACCAGTTGCTGTACTTTTGAAAGTAAGATGTTTTCCTGTTCTTGCTTGATTTAGATCAGCTGATCAACAGTTCGGGGTCTTCTTTGTCATATTCTTGTTTCATAACGCGGCAAATGTTTTCAGCGGGTGACGGGTCTGGACTGCAGGCAGGCCGGTTTAGCACCTGGACTCTTACTGCGGCGCAATGCTGGTGTAATACATGCAGAATGTAGTTTGTGTCTTGCTGAATAAGCAAGGCCTTCCCTGAGAACGACGTCGTCTGGATGGCAGCATGTGTTGATCAGAAACCTGTATATATAGTTCAGCTTTGATGGTGCCTTCACAGATGTGCAAGTCACCCATGCTATGTGCACTAATGCACCCCTGCAACATCATGGATGCTGGCTTTTTCTTTCCTATGTGCTGATAACAGGCTGAGTGGTCCCTCTCCTTTTTAGCCTGGAGGACACAGCGTCCATGATTTCCAAAAAGAATTTCAAATTTTGATTTATCAGTGGTGACAGCGTTTCTGGATCCTGTTTATATTTGGTTTCATCTTTGTATGGTAGAGTTTTAACTTGCATTTGACAGAGAGTTCACAGACAGTGGATTTCAGAAGGGGCTCTGAGCCCATGCAGTGATTTCCACAACAAAGTCTTGTCTGTTTTTAATGCTGTGCCACCTGAGGGCCTGAAGATCATGGCCATCCAATATTGTTTTTTCTCTGGATTCTCTGAAATTTCTCTGGATTTCTCAGGATTCTCTGAATATTTTAATGATATTATGTACCATACATGATGAAATCCCCAAGTTATTTGCTTTTTTAAGTTAAATGTTGTTCTTGAATTGTTGCAGTCTTTCACAGAGTGGTGAGTCCTCTCCATCTTGACTTCTGAAAGACTCAGCGTCTCTGGGATGCTCTTTTTTACTCAGTCATGTTACTGACCTGTTACCCATTAAACTAATTAGTTGTGAGATGTTCCATTAGGAGTTTTTTTATTTTTAGTATTACACAACTTCACCAGTGTCTTCTTGCCCCGTCCCAACTTTGTTGAAATGTTTTGCTGGCATCAAATTCGAAATGGACATATATTTTTCTTTTAACATTTTATGTGATGTCCTTGCGCTAAATTCAATTAATTATTTCTGTTTTAGTGGACGCAAAAGGCACCGCGTGGAGAACAGTCCCAGCCCGCGTCCCTCTCCTAAAAAAGTGAGGGAAAACAGCCCTGCAGACAGTGATGGCTACAACAGCACTGAGGAGAAAGGTACCTGCTAGCTTCAGTGGTTTAGTTTAGCTCAGCGGTTATTTAAGTAAATGATTGTTGGTCCTTCTACACTCTTGAGTCAGATTGCCAAATGATTCAGTTCTATAGTCAGACTTTTTTTCAATAATAAGTATTTAGTTATTTACTTTCTTTCCCTCCTGTTGGCACAGGTGACAAACACAGACTCTTGAGTCAAGTTGTGCGCCCTCAAGAGCCGAGCCGATCCCCACCACGCTTACCCACTGACGACAAGCCCACCGCCCGCTGGAGGGAAGATGACCGTCGCGGCGACAAGAAGGATGGCCGTGGCCGGCATGAGGAAGTGGATACTCGTGGAAGAGGGGCGGAGCGTCGTGCAGATCCGGAGAGTTCAGTCAGTGCAGGTGCTTCTGAATCTCGGAGGGTGAAAGATCAAAGAGATGCCAGCACCCCACCTCCTGTGTCTGCTGGTCCTGAAAGACAAGACGCTGCTTCAGCTGTCCATGAGGAAGCCAAGAAGAAGACCAAATCTCAGAAAAAGAACCTGAAGAAGAACAGGAAAGAAGAGGAGGGCACTGTGGGTGGACCTGCAGACCGTTTTAACCCCGAGCCACCACTGCCTTCACCCTCATCTGCCCCTTCTGATGCCCCCAGGCCGCTTATGTCTCCCCGTAAGACAGGCAAGAAGAAAATCGTGGACCGTAAGCGGAAGCGTTCACGTGGTGCCGAGTCAGACATTTCTGAGGACGAGCCAGCAGCCCAGCACCCAGTCAGCAAGAGACGCCGTGGTCCTCGCACACCTCCACCAATCAATAAAGAAGATCTGCCCTCTCAGAGAGCACTCATGGCTGGACGTCCTGCAGCAGCAGCACCTCCTCTCAAAATGGACACAAACTTCAGTGATTGGTCTGATGAGGACGTACCGGAACGGGCCGATGTCTCGTCTGCTTCACTCCCAGGTGAGTTGAATGCCGGCCACCCTGGATACCAAAACAGTTATTGGTTATAATGCTGCAGTCCTTGGTGGCTCGTAAAATATTTGTCACATGACTAAATTAACTACAAGTTTTTGCATATGAGTGGTCAGCAGTGGGTAAATCAGAGGTGCTCTGACTGCTGATACCTGATAGTGGGTGGTGTGGCCAAAATGTACATCATGTTATACTTGAAGTTAATATTACAGAATGTACTTGTTCTTTAAATAAAATCATTTTAGATGCTTATGTAAACCTAAGTTTGTAAGTCAGCAGTGACTTATTATTCTGGGATGTCCCTTCACATTTTTATAACATTCATGTTTAACAACCAAAGTAAATCCCAAATATTTTATTGTGCAAAATGGTTCAAACAAAACTGAGGTTTATGTGTATATAAACCTATGTCAGTATTGCTTTTTAGTACTAGCCCCGCAGGCCTGGCTAAATAGTGCCGAATGTTGTCACGTCTTAATTTCTACAAGGCTATAGTTGACCTCTTGTTGACCAGGTTATTGTTGCTTTTCCACCTTAAATGGTGGAGCAGTTACATTTAGGTGCCTGTACAGGATAAAGTGTTACGGTTGAACAGGAAATTGGGATAAGAAGCTTCTCGAGTCCTTTGTCATGTGTGCCTTCCCTGTACTTGTGCTTCCGACTGTCAAACATTACAGGAATTTTCCTTTATGTCCACTGCCTTTCTTACTCATTGAAGCGATTCCCTAAGAATTGTAAACAAATGAAGTCTTCGTGAGGTCAGAGATTCACACTCTCAATATCTATAAGAGTAGTAATGTAGGTTAAAGTTCTAATGGAACACCCTCCTTACAGGTGAGCGACTTACTGAGCGGCTGCTCCCCTCTGAGCTGCCTCCCAGACGTGGCAGAAACATTGCTCCCTTGCTGCCAGACCCGCCCATGCTGATGCAGACTCTGCCCCTGCAGCCTCTTCTGCCCCAGCACATGCTGCGTAAGCCACAGGATGCTCAGCAGCAGCCTCAGCAGCAGCGCAGTGGCAGCATGGGCAGCAACCAAAGCCGGGCATCCTCCCGCCGGCTGCGATCTCCATCCAGCGACTCCGCCCACCGTGCAGATGAAGGCCAGCAGGGGGTCCGCTCACGCAGGGGACGCATGCATGGAGGTAACTCTCGTGACCGTGAAAGAGAGAGGGAGCGAGAGAGAGAGAGGGACAGGGAGAGAGAGAGGGAACGAGAGCGGGACAGAGTGGTGGCGGCGGCAGCGAATGAGGCGATGGGGGGAGAGAGGAAGTCTAGGATCGACCAGCTGAGGAGAGGAGAGCCCAGTCGCAGCACCTCTTCAGGTGAGAGGAGAGAGTTGACCTGAATAACGCAAATTTGTAATGATCTTTTTTTATCTGTTAGACTTTGTTCTACTAATTTTCAGAATTATGGTTGTCTTTTCTTTTTCACTCCACCAACAGACATTTAATTTTCCTTACAGCAAAATATAGAATATTATAATAGAAAGTTCAGGCTGGATGATATGGCCAACAATGTATCAGTTGGTGTTGATTACTGAAAATTACTTATCTATACTTCCTAATGCTTTATTTTAAATCTGATTGGTATTAGAAAAAAGAACATGTATGAAAATATTATACGTGATATATACAAAGATATTATATGTGATATATATACAAAGTAGACATAATAGGGCTGCCCCGATCATGAAATTTTACCTGACATTTAATTGTGATTAACAATTTAATTGGTCTTAAAGTACAGCCTAAAGTGGCTTATTAGCCATCTTGCTACCCAGCAATATTTTCCTAGTAACTTATAATGGCTGTACTGTCGAAATAATACATTACACTGTTGTCCACAGTTGCACAGAATCGTGTGTGAAGTCGAACAAGCTACATTTTTTGGGTGAAAATATAAGAAAAAAACATTATGTCCCATTATGTGTCTTAATGAATGCATTTACTGTTTTCTTTTATTTACATTAATTTGACCCAATCCAAGACACTCAGTTCACATTTTGGTTGTCGTGGTATAATATGAAGTTCCCCATCCAGCAAGTAAATGGCACACTTTACCACCTAGTGTATGGAAGCAGCAGTTCAGTCCATTGTTGCTAATACCGAATTGTGGAACAGACTGGTGTGATCATTCTGACATACTTTAAATGTGCGTTACTGATATGAGGAAAATTATGATTTCACTTATTATAGTTGGCTTTTTTTGATTGCTCAGGCCTTTCAGAAAACTCTCAAACTATTGCTGCTTATTTGTTAAAATGTTTACTTTTGTCCATGTGCAGACCGGCAGGACTCACGCAGCCACAGTTCAAGACGCAGCTCTCCAGAGTCGGAGCGTCAGGGCCGTTCTCGTGCCGGCTCTTACGACAGCCGTGAGCGAGACCAGTTTGAGCGGGACAGGAAGGACCACCGGCAGCCACCGAACCAGCCACCGCCGGGGCAGCAGCGCGACTGGGAGCCAGAGCCCCGCGAGTGGGTTGGCCGGGAGCGAGGGCGGGAGCCACTCCTTCTCCGTGGCAACCGGGAGCCAATCAGAGAGCGAGATCTGAGAGAGATGCGTGAGAGAGAGAGGCTGCTGCCCGAGGGCTGCTGTCACATGATCGCCTCGACCGAGACCGCGGAGAGAGAGAACGAGAGCGGGACAGAGACAGGGACAGAGAAAGGGACCGAGGAGAACGTGAGCGAATGCTGCCATTTGACTTTCCACCACTTGGGGAGCCCAAGAGCCGAGCGGAGATGAGGATGGAACGGGGAGATTACGAGCCACTGCTGCCCAGAGAAGCCCTCATGGACACGGACAAACCCAGCACTACAGACGATCCACACACTCAGACAGAGCCCTGTGAGACGGAGAAGGTGGACAGCCTGGATGGTGAGAGAAACGTTTCTTTAGGAGGTTAAAGTAACCCTCAAAAACTTAACCCCTTAAACTCAGTTTCTCTCATAACTTGTAAGGTTAATAACTGAATAATAAGCTTGGAACCAGTTGACTATATTATCATGAATTGTCTATAGTTTCCAACTATCAGGACTGTCAGTCAGGTCAGGCAATATAAATTTCAGAAAACAAAGTGTTTAGGATGGACGTAAGCAATCATATTTGTTTCATGATTTCATTTCTCTTAATGTGTAGTTAATGTGGTTTAAAGTGGTTTGTCTGTGAGTGCTGAACATGTTCAGTCAGACATTTCTTTATTTATTTATTTATTTATTTATGGTAGCTGCCAACTCCCCAGCAATACAAATGTCAATCATCTTTGAGGCTTGGAGGTGCCATCACGCAATAGGACATTGCACATGATCTCATAAGTGCACTTGGAGTTCAAGCTGTTAAATTGCATTGCCTCTTATTAGAATAATTTATGAGGGCGTTAACTAACCATTATTTCTGTTTGAGAATTAACAGTATAATTAGACTTTTATTATATTAATCAACTAATCAGCGTTATGCCTTCTGCGGTTTCCTCTCTCCTTGCCCCGACACAGCGCTGCCATCATTCAGAGTTGTGATTGATGATTTCTTGTCCTATGGTGCAACAAATGAAAGCCATATCGCCCCCTATGCTTTCTTTAGTGTATTGCACTCAGTCAGAATTACTTTAGCTCGAATGAGCTTTAGAGAGCACTTTTGCCTTTATGCATGTCATTTTTAATCATTAACATACATTTTGTTTTTTAATTAACATAATCAGCCTCACTGAGGTTCGTCTTTGGTGAGCGATTGCTGCAGCCATAATGAGAGAAATGTTTTGTTAAACCAGCATGTGGCTTTCTTATCCTAGAGCCTTCTAAAATCATTAATCAGATTGCACTTCTTGAGATTAGAGCACTTTGTCATCTTCAAACCTGAGGCATTGATATTGCAGCAGAAAATGTCTTTGTATTTATGTTAAGTATGTAATATAATATAATTTAATATAAATACAAATTTACAAATATTATAATGTAATTTAATATAAATACAAATGATACAGATTTAAATTCCATGTAAATATGAATAGGATCACATTTCCAGATTAATTTAATGTTCTTATTAAAGTGTATGAATGATGAAGTTTATAAAGTTTGTTAGGATTATTACAGACCTGGTTTCAGACTTTTGCCTGTGGCTTTGTGAGAGGTCTGCATGGAAGTTGCAAGTCTGTAATAAGAGCACATACATATTAACTCTATCAAGAGTCCTTGAATTAGTGTTTACATTCAAGTGTTTTGGGTTGCCTGAGCAGTTTGTACCTAAATCTGCGTTTATATGCTTGTTGTGTCAGAAGAGGATGATGGGAAGGGAGAAGATGCACAGTCTGTGGCGTCTGGTGGGGAAGAGTACGAGCCCATCAGCGACGATGAGCTGGATGAGATCCTGGCTGACAGCCAGAAGAGAGATGAGCAGCAGGATGAGGACAAGATCCCAGGTACGTGTACACACCACACAGCCTGCTGAGTCTAACGCTACACTCACTGTATCCGTAACTACACGTTATCATATGTTTACAACAAGCCCTTTGATCAAACATGTTTATATATATACTTTGAGGCACCTGAGAGAACGACAAATAAAAAGCTGTTCATCTCGTCAGTAAGTGTTTATTTGCCAAGAAAAACACTAAGAATAAATACAAATAACTAAATACATAAAACTATGCAATAAGTAGTCATTTTCTGTATGTCAATGTGTTTGTTTAATCATTTCCAAACATCATCATCATCTGGCAGCCCAGTATTGTTTATAGTTATTGGAACAAGCATTTATAAACAGTTATGTAGGGTTATGTCAGTTGTCATGACAAGCTTATGTAGGTGTCATGTTGCCTTATGAACAGCACCCTACAGTAAAGTGTTACCAATAAATCTTTGTGATGGTTGGGGCATTAAGGAGGAATCGGGAACCAAACTTGGTTCTCCTAACTAGCTCACAAGACAAATTGCGTTTTTATGTATTTATGTTTGTTTGCGTTTTTTCTGATGATTCATAGTGTTGTTCTAATGTTACGTAGCGAAAACATGTTGATTACTGTGATGAATTATTTAAAATAATGTGCTTAGGTGCCTAAGACATTTGCACAGTACTGTATATGTTATTGAGAATGTATTTTTACACTTTCTAGTCCTGGTGGGCCAGAGCTAGACGGCCCCTCACACTCATGGTTCTTAAGTTGTACATTATATTTGAAATATTTTACTTGTAGTACAACATTATTCTGTAAATTTATTCTGCATAAGCATCTTTACAGTTTTTGAAGTGTGCCCACACAGAGGAGTTTTCCAACATTTGTGTTTCATCCACCTTAAGCTTTAGTACCCAGGTCGCTGTGACATTGACGCACGTGAACAGTATGTTTAGAATGATGCTTAAACTTGCATAGAGTCTGTCATTTACAGAAATATTTACACTTCTAACAGCTATTAAACTAACTTAATACATATAAGTAAATGAGTAAATTTTGATATTAGTCGACTAACAGTGCTGTGGCTGTGTAGTCATTAGATTACTGAGAGTACAAACTTTGCCTGCTGTAACCGACTGGACTCCCCCTCCCTGTGCTTCAGGGCCGCTGGATGTGATCGATGTGGATTGGTCAAGTCTGATGCCGAAGCAGAAGCAGGAGCCGCGTACTCCGGGGGCGGCGCTACTTAGATTCACACCCGGTGCGGTCCTCCTACGGGCGGGGGTCTCCAGACGACTCGCTGGACCCCGACTCCTTACACGGGTTAAAGAGGTCTGTGCCAGAGAGCTGGAAGAGACAGAAGGTGAGAGTATACATAATAAATATAAATGTAATAAGGGCTTATTACTGTCATTGTTAGTAGTAGTAGTATTGTACTGTACATTGTCTTTTTGTTGTTTTGTATTGTATTGTATTGTTTTATTTGTATTATTTATAAAAAATATAATTTACTTGTGGATTAAGTGTTGTTTAGTTTTTTGAAAGTAATCCGGATAAATATGTGTGTGTATATATATGTAGCTTGCTTCACAACAATGTAATCTAAAAAATAACAAAACTCAAAAGTAACAAGTCTTTCCTTCCCTATGTAAGCTTTCCTGTTTATATTTATGCCCCAGGCTCTGAAATGGTCTGAAAGATAAAAACCCATTCTTGTCTGTTCTCCTCAGATGCAGAAAAGCTGTTTGAGCATGACCTCGGAGCGCTGAACATGGCTGCCCTCAACAGAAGGACGGAGAGGGCAAACCTGCTGAGGAACCTCGGGCCATGCTGTAAGGCTCTGTGCGCTCGCCGAGACATCGCCATCCGCAGGCAGCTCCTCAAAAACGACAAGGTAATTTTTATGATCCAAGAAAGAGTAAATATACTCTAAATGTACTGTACAGCATGGTCACGGTTTTAAGATAGCAGTTTTAGGACATGCCGTTTTAACCCTGTCCCACATAACTTGGTGGTAACACCATGAGATGTATTACAGCTACAAGGCCATCAGTTCCCAAATGTGTTATGTTGTACCAGTATATCACCAGTATTTTGTTTTTAAATCTAGACTATGTAAGATTATTTTGATAAAATTAAAAAAAGTAGCCTTACTGAGTCAGTAGAAAAAGCATCTGACTTTTAAATAGTAATTTGAAAGTCAGAGGCATTTTGTAGGAGGTTTTCTGACCACTTAAGGTAGTACATAAATATATAATATTTTGGTTGTGGTTAGATCCTATGTCATTATGTTTTGTGATGTTACAAAAACCAACACATTTACAAATATCCAACTATTCAGCCCGCATTATTTTAGCTCTGCCCATTTACATAAAAAGTTCAGCCTGGACTGCCTTTTGAATGAGGCACAAAACAAAACAGCTGATCAGAGCAGAGGTCATTCACATATAGCAGCCTTAAAGGCACAGTATCAGAAACAGGCTGTTTGATTCTAAGGGATAAATAAAGGTTGGAAAATGGTCATGTAAAAATGTTTTTTCTACATAAAACCAAATATATTGTAAATAGACCTCAGGGGGGGAAATGAATATTCAAGAGAAGTGAAGAGTCGCCCGCCCTTTTAACATTATGACTTGTCACATGTCGCAGGGGACGACTAAGCAGATCTACACTAGTGCGCCAGTTGTGGACCAGGAGTTGCTGCAGCTCAGTGTGCGTCTCTTTAAGAAGAAAATGGCTGCCGGGCAGGAGAAGGCTGACCCGGTGCCCGCGGCTAGCGCCCCAGCTGAGGTGTGTGTCTCCTGAGACACCCCAGTGAGTAAAGAGCATGAAAACTGACCTAGGATCAGACATGGCTGTCTTTAACCCATATCGCCGCCTACTGTTCTACAACACTGAGACTGTTTGTAAGTCAGTGCTAATGGAGGATGACTGCCACAGGCTTGGGAGTACAGCACCATAGAGACTGGTAAAATGCTAGCCTATGAAGATACTGTGTAGGTTTTGGCAGACAATGAACTTTGTTTTCTAAGTGTGGCAAAGACGTGTGGGGGGGTGGGGTCAAGATCTCATTGACATTTAATGTTTTAGAGAAACTTTTTGTAATGTCATCTTTTCATTTATACCACAGTTGCTTCATGTTTGTTTGATGTAATGTGCTTTGTGTTGTTAGAGGTGTGCATTAAAATGATCTCGTCTTTGTCACGAGTCCTATCTTTGTTACTTTTATTGCTTTTATTTCTTTGCAATGTTATTTGAGACCCGAAATATTTCTTTTTTTTTAGTCTTGCTTTATGAAAACAGCTTAATTTTTCGTTAAGTCACTAGTTTTAGAACAGTGGGGTATTTCTGAGTTAGCCAGATAGCTTATGATCAAAGTCAAGTCTGTCCAATAGGAGGAGAGATAAAGGACAATCCTTTTGGCCAATCCTTACTGCATCCGAATCGCTGAATGAAACTATCGGTTTTGAGTGATCTATAGTGCATGGTCTCAGTCCATAGGCCTGTTGGCAGAGCAGACTAGCATTTGGATCCGCATGCCTACACGATCAGGTAAAGTCAGGAAAGCAGGTAGGAAAAGAAGTTGAATTCAACTGTTTGGATGTAGCTACAGTATTTTTATTCCCTGTTCTAGTACTGGGTGATGTATCATCAATACCAGTACATTGTGATACTGATTTTCAGATGCACCAACATTGATAGTTAATGAGCAACATATCCATAATATTATTATCCATAATATTATTATCTATAATATTATTATCCATAATAATAAAAGTCTCTTCCATAAAATAGCAGGCTTTTTGTTGCTGAACGTTTTTTGTAGTTTTTTTTTAGGACTTAAGATATCCAGGATCTTACAATTATCCAACATGTTATTTGTTCAGTGCAGTGAAAGAAGCAGTTCAAATGCATGAAATCCTAATAATTAGGAAGTTTCCTTTCAGACGTGGTCTGTAACTGCTGTGTAAGGGTGCCTTTGGTGTAACTTTAAGTGAAGCAGAACAAAACAGTCTAATTAAATCAGTCCAATATAATGTTATCATCACAATTTATATATAAATATATCATTTTTTATTAACACAGAGCAGCAGTTCTGAAGAAGTATGTGTTTAAATTAATCATAGTATTAATAGTGATATAGATAAATATCTATATAAAAAAACTCTGCCCTGCGATGGACTGGTGACCTGTCCAGGGTGTATCCTGCCTTCTGCCCAATGACAGCTGGGATAGGCTCCAGCGCCCCACCGCGACCCAGGAGGATAAGCGGTTTAGATGGTGTGTGTGTGGGTGTGTGTGTATGTATAAAAAACTCAATAACTTTATTTCCAAATAGTCTGTATTACAGTCAACTCGAAAGGTTTCGTGTGTTGGGGTGATGAATGAAATTCGCAGAGACCTATATTATGAAAAACGAAGTGTGCTCGCCGCCCTTTGTGGCCGCTCCTCTACCGTCCCACAATTCCTCCGTCATCCGCCGTGTAGCGGGTGACGTGTCTGTGTAAGCGAAGCGGCTTCGTCCAGCTCGCTCTCCCTGCAAATGAGCGACTTCTGACAGCAAAAGGCCCGTTTTTCTCCGCGCATAAGGCTGGATATCTTTTGAATGAAGCGTTAGGTCGTCGACTGAGCCACGATGTTCGTCTTTCTGCGCGCCCCCTCCGTCTTTTTCGTCCTTTTCCTAGGTGCGTCGTCGTCGCTGCTGCGGCAGGCGGCTGGTTTTTATCTTCCGGGTTTGGCGCCTGTCAGTTTCTGTGAAAAACCTTCGGAAGGAGACGAAAGCGGGAGAGAATGCCAGGTAAATACGGCTCGGTGTGAGCCAAATGTCTTAAACATGTTGGTGTTTGGCTTCTTTTTATCCTTTTTCGTGGACATATCGTCCCAAAGCGTCGTTAGCCACAGCTAGCGCGAGTGGGCTTCCGACTCGCCAGCTTCGTGCTCGAATTTCCCCGGTCCACCTTAAATGGTGCCGCGGTTACGTTCAGGCGCCTCGAGTTCCAGAGTGTGGCTGCGGCAGTGTTTAAGGTGGAACGGGACAATTCGAAAAAAGTCGTAGATAGTTAAACAGGATGCTGTTGGAGGACGCGTATGTAACGCTAACGTTGTGAACGGTATCTAAAGATTTAGTGGCCCTTTAGCACATCTACGTGTGATAGATTACAGCTTTAACCAGGTGTTTATAACATCGTTATAAACACATAACTCAGGTTTGTCAGTGTTGGGAGGTACAAGTTGACTTAAAGTAGCTCGCCATTAGCATTAGCTTTAGCTGAGGCGGACCGACAGAGCGCTGTTTGTTTTCCTGACCAGAGGGCCTTGAACAGTCTGAAGATAAAACGAAACCAGGACACAGGGTCCGCTGATACGACCCCCAGCACCTCCTCATGCAGGCTTGGCAGCGTTCATAGCAACTGTGAGGCACTTAAGCTGTCCAGTTTGTAGCACATGGCAGACTGATGTTGACATCCTGTTGGAGATGTAGAAAGTCTAACCTTTATAACCTGTATATGTAGCGTTATCTCACTCATATAGGTGAGTAATAACCAGTTCCACGTACTCAGGTTAATTTTTCATTGACGATTTGTTTCAGATGACAGTTCGTCCACCCTCGTATATGCATGGGGGCAGTAATCTACGTTTTACTGAGTCAACTCTACGTTTTAGTCTTTCACAATTAAAGTTAATTCCTTTTTTGTATTTAATTGTGTGATGTTGCTTTGTGTTATATTGCTGACAGCGTCTACACTGCCACATTTGAGGTTTATTTGCTTAGTTATTTACTTTTTTTTACACCAAAAGGATCCAGAAACAAGAGAATAGAGACCAACAAACCTTCTATGCTGGTAGATACTGGCTGTACTGAGACGCTCACCCGCTGTTCTGAAAGTAACTCAGTACTCAAGTGGTTTTCTGACCTGCTGTATTTGTAGTTTGATTCATTTTTTTTGTTAGTACCTGAGTTAATGTTTCAGAGAAGTACCAATATGAGTTCAGGAGACTCTACCTGAGCCTAAACTTATACTTAAGTAAAAGTATCTTTCCAAAAGCAACTTGTAGAAGTAAAGTTAAAGTACTTAAATACTGAATACCTTATAGAAGTGCAGTGGAACTTAAGGTACGTCGATGTATGAGCGTAAGGAATTGAGGTTTGCTCTGTTCTTCTCTTTTGCGACACTTTTTTGTCAAAAAAGCATATTCAAATGTTGTCACCAACATAATGGTATTGAAATAAAACAAAAATTTAATTAGTAGCAAAATGTTAATGAATAAAATGTGGATTGTTTTTCTTAAAAGTATACTCGGGTACAAGTAAAAGTATTATCATTGGAAAATACTTAGAAAAATACGACCACAAGTCGTTACTTCGATACTAGCATGTAACAAAGTAATTGATTCTTGCCAAACATCACTTTTTAAGCATGTTCTTCCTGTTGAGAGCTGTCGGGAGCTTATCAGTGCTTATCGTAAAATTGCCATTAAGCTTTTATCTTAGCCTTGCTCTCCTCGGGTGTTCAGTGTCTGCAGCATACTTTATAACAGTTCCTCTTTCCTGTTGCTCTCTTTTTCACAGGACAAAATTGAGCTGTTTGTGAACAGGTTGGATTCGGTGGAGTCAGTCCTGCCCTACGAATACACAGCGTGAGTAGACTTCACAGATGTTCTCGACGCTTAGAAATTTTCATACCACTTCTAATCGCTTACAGCCACGTTGGACGTTTGTAGTATTTGCGTTACCACTATTGCTTGTGAAGCAAACACGGCTGTTGGAGTCGACGTAATGGTGATGCCTTTGCCCCGTCATAGATAGTGTAACAAAAAAAGGCTTCTGTACACATTTAGATGGAACTGTCCAGCTGGTTTTTCTAGAGTTTCTTGAAAGGCTGGCCCTCCAGGTGATTTTGAATTGCGCTTGTCTTTTGATTTGCCACATGCTTTAAGGAAGAACCGGAAGAGTGAGGGAGTGGTAGGCAAAGAAAGGTGAGAGGATGGTTAAGTTTCCTGATAGGCAGGGTGTGTAAAAAGTCTTGATTTGTCTTTGCATGGTTTGCAAATTAAAGGCCTTAATAAACAGGTAAGTAGTAATTTACTGTTATAAAGTAGTTGGGCAGTATTATAATATGTCATAATAATATAATATATTACATATTTTATATATAATGTCATCTATACTAGTGATTTATACTAATGCAGCAATATTTTAGTTGAATATTTGAGAGATAATGTGCATTGCATCCATGGTACAGTCATTTGCAAGTGTTTGGGTGCCCGTGGTCGAATAACATGTTGTTAATTCATAAGTATAAAAAATAAGTATAAAAAGTTAACACATCCTCTACAGAGAACACACTTTTGCTTGCATAATTTTAATGCATAATTACTGTTTATTTGCTGAATTTAACATTTTGGGAAAATACAAGAAACATAAAATATGGCCAGTGCAAAAGTTATGGCACATTTTATATTTTATGTTACACTTTTATTTTTTCCTAAATGTTAAACTCAGCAAAGAAGTAGAAATTGTGCAGTACAATTTGAAGAAAATGCCATTTTTAGGTTCTCTGTTTTGAGAACAGGAATTGTTAACATATTTTCAAACAGGTAATTTGACTTGGGGTGTTAAAACCTTACTTAATTCTGTTCCGTGCACTTTACTCATGGCATCCAGGACCTGACAGTTAACTAATTTATGCAAGAAAATAGAACAAAACAGTCCAGTCTGAGTTAGCTGTGTCAGTTTTTGTAAGACAGTATTTTAGATTAGCAGTACTCAAGAAACAGTTCAGTGACTTTAAAGCTGCCTTCATCTGATTTTTTGATACTGCGATGTGGGAAAGCATCGTGATGTATTTTAACAACATCGCTCAATCCTAATAAGTGCCAAATTGCTATATCATGACACAGTCGTCGAAGGGTTGCTTGCACGAAACAGTTTGCATTAAAATAACATCACCGGCTGTTGGGCTTGATTACACATAGACACATGAGTCTTTGGTAATAACTTAACTTGAAGATGCCTGAAGGCACCCTGGACGCAGTGAGAGAGATTAGCAGTGGCGCCTGGTTATAGTGAGTAGTCAGCCTGAGGAGGGATTGTCCTGGCATTAACACTGAGCGCTTTAAGACCGTTTGCGGTCTGTATGTAATCTAATGGCATATGGAAGGTACCACACTCAAACCCCTGAGAAGTAGCTCTAGTGCTGGACGATGCATATTTTATACTGGTATTTTGTAATTTTTACGAAATACAATTTGATAAAATATATTGATGTTCAATAAATAATTTATTATTTGAACATCACTACAGACGCTCAGATAATGATGTGTGGCTGGTAGTTACCGATCGCAATTGTTAATAGTCAAATTGGAGAACGTTTTATTTTCTATTTATTTTTTTTTTTAAACCTGAAGCTCATGCTGTGAGACGCAAATGAACACACATTTCCAGATTTTACAACTGAAAATATCTGCCTCATTAACTATTTTCAACTGTAATATATATTTTTAACATATGACTGTTAATGTGTGTTATATGATTGTTGACTTTGCTTTTCTTTGACGTAGCAGTGGTGACCTGCATTATTTCATCACATATCCAGAACAGATTGTGCAACATATCATATACTTTCTGATGTGGCAGCTGTCACCTGTCTTGTAGATTTTATTGTTCTTCCTGCTCAAACAATCCCACCCCAACACAGAAAGGGCCGTAATGAGCTGATGATTTGTATGAGGTGTGTTGGGAGCAGAGAAAGCAGGGCACGTGGTACTCAAGGGCTGGAAACCACTGACCTAGAGAAACGCTGTAGATGTGGGTTTTTTTATTTTTTGTTCCTTCTCTGTTTGTTTTTAATAAAAAAAAATAGGCAAAGCACTTCATGGCCCTAGCCACTCACTCACAGTACAATAGGAAACTGCACTATGATTATCAGTTCATGTTGACTTTAAGCACTCATGGTGCCCCCCCCACCCCTCCATTATTTCATTGCTGTTTTTCACCCCCAGCTGCCATTTTCCCCTGTTTGGAGGACACTGCTTTATTACTGTTACTGAATTATATTTAGTGTGCACAGTTTTGTATATGATTTTTTTTTATTGTATGTTTATTGTATGCGCACACACACACACACACACACACACATTTTCTAAACTGCTTAACCTTCTGGGTCGGAGGGCGCTGGAGCCTGTCCCAGCAGCCATTGGGTGGAAGGCAGGAACACCCTGGACAGGTTAATTGTATGCAACAAAAATAACAATAACAGCTTTTTATGTTTTCTTTCTTCAGGTTCGATTTCTGCACTGTTGATGCTGAGAAGCGGCCATCAGAAAACTTGGGCCAGGTGCTGTTCGGAGAGAGAATTGAGCCTTCTCCGTATAAGGTACCTAAACCTGTGGGCACACACGCATTGGCAGCTCATACTCTTAATCCCATTCTGGTGTCATACTTTAAGTCCATTAACTCTGCATCCCAAAACTTCATCCATAAGGCATTTATGCAGCATCCTTCTTGATGCTTTTGCCCACCAGTGCCATTCAAGCAGCATGTCAAAGCTTCAACAAGTATTTTGCGCTCAAAGTCCAATGACAGACCAAACATAATGGGCGATAAACTGCTTTTATGTAAACCAGTTGTCAAGGACTCAGAAAATATAGGAAAACACCCCTTTCCAGATCACCAGATGCAAAAATGAATTCTGAATAACGTAAGACATTGGAATCGTTTATGTAAAGGATATTGCTAGAGCTTTCAGACACATGCCAATGTAATCATATCAATCAGAGTAAAGTAAGGGGTCACCACAAAATCTAATTTAAACCTTTCTCCAAATGTAGTTGATCATCCAAGACATGTTTGGTGTATGAAAGTTTTTTAGTTTTAGAGTGGAGTTTAATGTAAAAGAAGTCTGTCACTGAAAAAGATTACTCTCATAATTCGAGAGCAAAACTAAAGAAGCAGACTTCAGACACCAAACATGTCTTGGCTGATCAAGTGCATTTGAGATAAGAGGGAAATGCGGGACATTTGATTTTTCGGTGGACTATTTTGAAAACATCTGAATCATTTGTGAGATGTTTTTTGCTTTATGTTGATGAAATGCATTATGAAGCCATCAGAGATGTTTAGCATAGTTACAGGTACAAAAATATGTTGATGCGACTCAGCAATACAAAAGGGTCACTGATCTCAAAAACAGATACAACTTAATGATACAAAAACGAATCGCCTTTTCTCAGAACTTCTCACAAAAATCCCAAAGACGTTTTATTTTATTGCTGTTTATTGATATTTTTCTTATTTTGCCTCTTACAGTTTTCCTTTAAGCAGAAGGAGGAATGTAAGCATGTGTGCACCAAGTCTTACAACACTGAAAAGACAGAAGATAAAGCCAACCTGGACTTCCTCAAGAAGGGCATGCTTCTTAACTACCAGCACCACTGGTGAGCTTCTCTTCTCTTCTCTTCTCTTCTCTTCTCTTCTCTTCTCTTGTTTGCAGTAGAGTGAAGCCTTTTTTTAATTTGTCCCATTGAGTATCTATGGAGACAGGTGGCAGTCTTGCACGAAGGGTTGTGTGAGCTGCAGTGGAGTAAAGCAGACGACGAGAGCAGCAAAAGTAGAGAATTTCTGAACTTTATGCAAACGAACAGCTGATTTTGTAGGTGACAGCAAGTCTTATTATTTAAATTTGACTCTGTGCTTGTTTTAATGCTAATATCTGATATTTTTAATGTACATATTTGTCAATCCTGTTCCCAATACACATTCATAAAATGTAGACATTGGGGCAAGATCCAGCTAGATTAGCATTGCAGAAAAACAAAACATTTATTTGTAGAGATTTGCACATGCAGTAAAATGAATAAAATGCAGACATTTAAGCCTGGTAGTCTAAATGTTCTTCTGAAATACAGTGAAGGCTTCACCAGCTGCCTTTTGAATTATTGGTCAAGTTGTCAGTAACTCATTTAAAGCAATTATCTGCCCACACCTAGTATCTATTATCTCTGTTTAAGTAATAATTATTGGGGATGCACAAAATTTAAGCGAAATATTTTTTAAACTATTCAAACGGTCTGTTATAACATTAGACATGTCACCCGTGTTTCCTTGTGGCACAGAACCGACCTACAAGAGTGTGTGCACTTTCACTGGAAAGCTAAACTTGTTTGCATTTTAATGACACACCCCCAAAAGTGGTGAACAGTTGGAAAAGGAAGCGGTAAGCAAGCATACCTTCTCACCACTAGATGGCTGCCAGAAGTTTCTCATGCAAGTTTTTTTTCCCTCTCCCTCTGTGTTGAATGCAGGATTGTGGATAACATGCCTGTGACCTGGTGTTATGATGTGGAGGATAATCAGAAGTTCTGTAACCCAGGATTTCCCATCGGATGCTACGTCACAGAAGCGGGCCGACCCAAAGACGCCTGCGTTGTCAATGTGAGTTTCATCTGCAGTTAAATCCTATACTGTGTGTGTGTGTGTGTGTGTGTGTGTGTATATATATATATATATATATATATATATATATGGTCTTCACCTACTTCAGCTACTACATGTTCGTTTTTGTCCTGTTTAACTTTCTGACATTGAGATGTTAGCTCTCTATTTCATAACTGCTCTTTTTAAGTTTTAGCCTGTTTGTCTGTTACCCTCCATCTTCATTATGTACTTGTAGCCACTGTCTGTTTACTCTGTTTCTCTTCCATGCAGTCTGACTTCAATGACAAGGACACCTTCTACATCTTCAACCATGTGGACATCACCATCTACTACCACATAGTGGAGACTGAGACCGCTGTTG